GTTTTATGAATTACTTCAACCTGTTCTGACTTGCAAAAAAGTGCCAATTCTCAGCAAACATATGTAAAAGGGAATGGAAGTAGAGAGAGTTCCTACATTTTAAATCTGAAGTTATGACAATTTTAGAATTCTAATAGTTAATCCAATTGTTCAAATTAACCAGATGACAACATTCAGACTAGAAAAAGAGCATACAGATGAATGAGTCAGATAAATTATTCTTCTCATCCTATAACACAAATACATGCTAGCTGGGTAAGTAAGTTGTTTAATTTATTTAATTGTAACTTGTAAAAGCTTATAGGTTAATGCTATAGGCCACACACATTTCCCCCCCCCCCCCCCCCACCCGCTGCTAGTACATTTTTTAGCACACCAGCCAAGCAGCCTGGCTCAGTACTTGCTTGTGCCGGGTTCAGGACCTAGCCTCACTGAAGCTCTGCATTTACTCAGTCCAAGCTCGTACTAGGTTCGGGACCTGCCCCCGCTGCAGCTGTGCATTTAAAGCATATTAGGAGCCAGGCAGCCCAGCTCAGTTCCAGTTTGCACTGGGTCCAGAAGCTCAGACACCTCCCCCACCCCCCGGACAGGGGCTACTGTCTCTGTGTCAGAGGCAGCAGCATGGGGTGACAGGCAGCTGTTCTGCAAGAGGAGCTGGTTTTTAAATTGGCTCCCTTCGTGGACCACCTCCCACCTGGCACCTCACACTGCTGCCTCTGATACAGAGGCAGCAGTGCAGAGTGGCAGGGAGCTCCTTGGGAGTGGGGCCAGAGCACACCAGCTGCCACCCCACCCACAGGGACTAAAGAACAGTCAAGTAACCAATAAGAATTCATAAGGTTAATTGACTATTCAATTAAACAGTATTTAACATCCCTAAATGGTGATAGCCACAGTTCGTAATGGAAAACTGATGTGGGTCAGAAACATTAGAGATTTCTCCCGTTTTCCTTTAATATATACACCACAGTTACAACAAGAATGCACTGAGCCCCTTATGTTCTTCTAAAAAACAATGAATAATAGGAAAGACTTATATGTTTGCTGCCTAACAATTATGTTAAAAACAGAAAAATTGCCCCTCACATGCTATCGCTAGATAAGCTATACCAATGGGAGACCTAGTGTAGACAAAGCTCTATCAACTTTTGACACTTCTATCCTTGTCACAATTAAGTCTGTTCAGATACAGAATTTTATCTACTGCAGTAACCCCTCACTTAATGTTATATTTATGTTCCTGAAAAATGCTACTATAAACAAGACAATGTTAAGCAAATCCAATTTCTCCACAAGAATTAATGTAAGTAGTGGAGGTTAGGTTCCAGGGAAATGTTTTTCTTAGATATAAGACATTATATACAGATATATAGTATAGTACATATGTATATACAGGCAGTCCCCGACTTACGCGGATCCGCACTTACGAACGGGGCTTTCTCGTCCCGGAGGTCGGGGCGAGAAACCCCCGTTCGTAAGCTGCTCCGGTGCCCCTGGTCTGCTGGAGACAGTCTCCAGCAGACCAGGGGCACCGGAGCAGCTTACGAACGGGGCTTTCTCGTCCCGGAGGTCGGGGCGAGAAACCCCCGTTCGTAAGCTGCTCCGGTGCCCCTGGTCTGCTGGAGACAGTCTCCAGCAGACCAGGGGCACCGGAGCAGCTTACGAACGGGGCTTTCTCGTCCCGGAGGTCGGGGCGAGAAACCCCCGTTCGTAAGCTGCTCCGGTGCCCCTGGTCTGCTGGAGACAGTCTCCAGCAGACCAGGGGCACCGGAGCAGCTTACGAACGGGGGTTTCTCGCCCCGACCTCCGGGACGAGAAAGCCCCGTTCGTAAGTGCGGATCCGCGTAAGTCGGGGACTGCCTGTAGTACATTGCTGTCATGGAGGTTAATAATACTTATTAGTCAGAATGGGTAGGAATTGTCCCCTGGTGAGGGGCTGGAAATGGATGACAGGAGAGGGATCACTTGGTGATTGCCTGTTCTGTTCACTCCCTCTGGGGCATCTGGCATTGACCACTATCGGAGAACAGGATAGCGAGCTAGATGGACCTTTGGTCTGACCCAGTATGGCCGTTTTCACGTTTTAAATAATTTTAAACAATTTAATACCATATTAACTAATGACGACTGTGAAGCCTGATTGAAGCAACAGTGTAACAGAGTTGGGGGTGCAGGGGCTTGACCCATTCCACCTGCCCAGTGCTCCTGCTGTAGAGTAGAACTGGAGGCTTGCTGGGTGCTGGCTGGAATGCCGGGCAGGCAGCATGGGGTAAGCCCCTGCGCCCCGCCCCTGTTCCCTGGCTGGAACGCCAGGCAGGCAGGCGGAGCAGAACAATCTGAACAACCTTATAACTGAACATCACACCACTTTAAACAAGTATGCCCTCTACAAGCCCACTAACAGGGGTAGGAGAAGGACAACTGCCCAGGAGCAAGTGTCCTGGCCGCTGCCACGGTAGCTCTGCCAAAGTGTCTCTTGATTCAAAGATGTTTTTGATATTTCCCATGTAGGTTCTGGGGCTGGATTGCTGGGTCCTGGAATCTGCATGGGACATATCAAAAGTATCTCTGAATCAAGATTTAGAGGGTAGATGTGTTAGTGTGTTCCAAGCTAAAGCTTCCACTTCATGCATCTGACATAGTGGGCTGCAACCCACAAAAGACTATGCCCAAATAAATGTGTTAGTCTTTGAATCAAGAGAGTTTCCAATAAGTGGATACTCTACTGTTTAGAAGGGCACTGTCCTTACTTGATTAGACTCTTAATACCTACTCCAAAGAGAGTGGAAGCTCCTCAGCAACTTTGCAGGAAATGCCTCACATAAGTGGGCCTTTAAATTTCAGGGCTGGAATGCCAGGCAGGCAGCATGGGGTAAGCCCCTGCGCCCCGCCCCTGTTCCCTGGCTGGAACGCCAGGCAGGCAGGCGGAGCAGAACAATCTGAACAACCTTATAACTGAACATCACACCACTTTAAACAAGTATGCCCTCTACAAGCCCACTAACAGGGGTAGGAGAAGGACAACTGCCCAGGAGCAAGTGTCCTGGCCGCTGCCACGGTAGCTCTGCCAAAGTGTCTCTTGATTCAAAGATGTTTTTGATATTTCCCATGTAGGTTCTGGGGCTGGATTGCTGGGTCCTGGAATCTGCATGGGACATATCAAAAGTATCTCTGAATCAAGATTTAGAGGGTAGATGTGTTAGTGTGTTCCAAGCTAAAGCTTCCACTTCATGCATCTGACATAGTGGGCTGCAACCCACAAAAGACTATGCCCAAATAAATGTGTTAGTCTTTGAATCAAGAGAGTTTCCAATAAGTGGATACTCTACTGTTTAGAAGGGCACTGTCCTTACTTGATTAGACTCTTAATACCTACTCCAAAGAGAGTGGAAGCTCCTCAGCAACTTTGCAGGAAATGCCTCACATAAGTGGGCCTTTAAATTTCAGATTACATTATTAAGAAATAATTTTGATTAAAAGATACGCAGAGTATAAACAGAATCATCAGAAACCACAAAGGCTGTAGATCACATTATCCTATTTTGCCCTTTGTATCTCTTTGTAGACTTTGTGATTCATTGCATGAACTAGACACAAAAGCTTTAATGCTCTATTTCCTATAAATAATTAGGAAGTCAATGCCAGGAATCACGAACAGCACAATGAAACCTGAAAGTGTTTAGAGAGATTAAGCTGCCAAGGAAAAATTCGGCTTTCATATTTATTTTACATTAAGACTATACTCAAGGTTTTCTACTACAGTAGTTGATTCTTTTTGACAGCATGATTCTGAACACATCTAAATTAAAAGAGTGTTGCAAGGCTGGGCTGCACATCCAACACAAAACCAAAATTCACCAACATACTCTCAAACTATTTTCTTGGCTAGACAGACTCAAATAGTTTCCCTTAACCAGTGTAGCTGCTAGCCAGGATTAAATATTTCTGTGTTTAATCATTCAGAAAGTGAAAGACTATGTACTGTATTTTTGACAGAAAACTCTGGCTGAGCAACTGTTCAAGAATAAATTGTGAAATGAAGTAAAAAGCTGTCCAAATCTTCTACTCCATTTCATTCAAACATTAAATGTCAGGCACGGCCTGCCAGTCTACATCTCCAAATTTCCCTTGTAAACAAACAAGTATTGGGGGGCTGAGACCTACTGCATTCTTTAAACACAATTTGAGATTAGCAGTGGCTCAAAGCCATCAAAATAATTAACAACCCATTAAATATTATTAGCATGTGGCCCAGCGAGTCTAGTAAATTCAGACATGACAAGGCAAAAATCTCCAGGCTTTAAAGCCTCCTTTTTTTTTTGACCATGATGTGGTAGAGCAATCCAGCAATGTTGCTGTAACCCGTGATAACGCAGCCAAGGGAAAGCCCTGGGAAGGAAGGGCAGGTTATCACGGACCTGTGTCTGTCACCCACTTACCCATCCAGGCAAGGGAACGGGCATTTGACAGGGTGAGTGCGCCGAAATGTCAACCGCTCTCCCCCCGCGCGGCCGCCCAAGCCAGCGACCACGGTCCTGCGCCGCGCTTGCCACATGGCAGGTCGGCAGGAGCTCGCGCTCAACGTGCGCGGGCGAGCCCCGGCAGCAGGGCCCCCCCTGCCCTGCTCGGGGCGAGGCCTCGCGGAGCGCCGGGGCCATTTTAGCGCCCCTCGGGGAAGTCACCCGCCGCCCCCCCACACTGGAGGGACGCGGGAGGGGGGCGAGGTGCACGGAGCCCGTGCAGCTAACGGGGCCGCCACGGGCTCCCCGACACCCCCGGGCCGCGGGGGGAGGGGCGGGATCTCGGCTATCGCCCCCCCCCGCGCACCAGTAGCCCCCGACAGGGTGGGGGCAGAGCTTCGCCTATCGCCGCCCCATCGTGACAGCGGAATCGCCCCGCCCGGCGCTCTATCGGCTCCCTGAGCGCCTCGCCGCCACGGCCCCGGGGGTCTGAGACGCCCCCCCCCCCCGCCCAGCCGCTGACAGCTCCGCGCCGCTCACCTCAGGCCGGAGCTGCGCTCCCCATGGGGGCGGCGGGTTCCTCCTCCCCCTGCGCGACGGAGCCGGTCCCAGCGCCCTTATCTCATCCTGACGGGAGCCCGAGCCGCCGCCTCCCCCGCCCGCGTGGGTGTCTCAGGCGGGATTCCCCCGCCCCTCAGCGCCGCCTCCTGCCGCCGCCATCTTGCCTGGGCTGGGGGCAGAGCGCGCGTGCGGGGAGCCAAAGCTCGCGCTGGGCCCGCCAGATGGGGGCAGCCCTCGGCGCGGGGTTACACTGGGGGGAGCAGCGCCCCCGCGCCCGCCAAGCGCGCTCCCTCCCCCCAGGGCAAGCGGCCCCTGCAGCCCGGGCACGCCCAGCCCCTGGCTCCGGGATGCCCAGGAGCGAGCCGCGTGACGTCTCGCCGCAGGGCCCACGGGCCGCGGGCGCTCGGGGGACACGTGTCGGGTTTAGCGGCAGGGCTTCTCTCCCAGCGCCCCCGCAAATTCCTGGCCGTGGGCAACACCTGGCGCATCGTGGACGCCGGGTTCTCCCGCGCCAGCTGACCCGCTGTGCGCTTGGACTTCGCTAGGCTGCAGCCTTCCCGAGAGAGCCCAGCCTGTCTCAGCCTGCGGTCTGCATCCAAAAACAGCTGCCCGGGGTGGAGGCAGGGTTATTTTAGGGAGAGTGGCTGCTCTGCCACCCTTCTGCCCTGCCTTCCGAGCAGGCTGGCCACGGGGTAGCAGCTGTAGCTGTTGGCCAGGTACCCAGCTCTGAAGGCAGCCTGCCAGCAGCAGCATCGAAGTAAGGGTGGCAAGACCACACTAAGCCATCCTGTGTGGTTGCTGGCAACGGTTCTGACTTCAGAGATAGGCTCCCAGCCAGCAGGCGCTGCTCCCTGGGGCTCCGTCTACACTGCAACGTTATTTTGGGATACTGAAGTATCCCGAAATAGCTATCCTGCGTCTTAACAGCAAGCTGTTATTCTTGGCTCACTATTCTGACGTCCCTCTAAACCTCATTCCACAAGGGGTAAGGGGTGTTTTGGAATAGCAGATAATTTTGAAATTTAGTGCTGTGTAGCCCAAATTTAGAGAGACAATCCCCTTCTCCTGTGGAGACAGAATGGTTTGTACAATCGCAGTCTTGTCTCTCCCTTTCCTTGTAGTTATACAAGGCACAAGCACTGACTTCCCATATACCATGGGGTGCTTAATTCCCACCTCTGTCGCAGGACCCACTCCCAGTCTACCTGTTCCCCCAAGGCTCCATGCCACCTCACCTTACCTCTTCTCACTCAGCTCCACTCCCACCTAGTTTCGCCCTTTCCCCCAAGCACACCCTATGCCCTTAGCCTCCTTCATGCCACAAAATGTGATTGCAGCAGATGGGAGGCACAGATGGGGCAGGGCCTCTCCTTGAGTGAAAAGAGAGAGCAGATGCGGGCTGTCGGGGTATTCAGCACCCACTATTTTTTCCCCGTGGGTGCTGCAGTCTTGGAGCACCCACAGAGTCGGTGCCTCTGACTCAAGGCTGATCTGTGCTGCTCCTTATTATCAGCTGTAGAGTCTTGTCCTCAGCTACCTACTACTTTTCTATGAACTGCCTACTCCATAAAGAGTCTGTGCCCACTAGTCCGCACCTACAGAGGAGTATATATCCCTTAGTCTGTGCTCTGGGGAAATACTGGCTACTTTTTACACATTTCTGGGTTTAAAGGGCATGGGTTAGGCATTGGGAAAAGGAAATAGGAATCGATCTTAAATCCATCCTAGACTTAACTTCAATTTTAAATCCTCCCATCCTTACCTAGTCATTCTACTACCTGCATCATTAGATTAGTAGGACCTTCTTATGGCCGAACACATTAACAACAAAAGCAGATGCTTCTGGTACCCATAGACCAAACATAAATGGCTCCGAGACAATGGCTAACTTCCCTTCCGTGTCCCAGTTCTTACAAGAGAGAGGTCAGGACAATTATACCATCAAATTTCACCCCAGCAAGATACTTTGTATATAAAGGAACAGCTAAAATTCTACAGTGCTGTACATTCAAATGGGTTTAGTTTGAAGAAGCATCTACCTAGCCTTACTATAGCATTCATGACTCTAAGATGCTTTTTCTGTTGCCCTCGCTTTATTTATAGTCCTTGAAGATCAAAGTTTCTTGATAGAAGCACATCTCATACAACTTTCCTGATTCCTGCCCTCAGTATTAGTGACCCCCAACAGAACTAGTAGTTCTTCTGATTAGTCCCCTATGGAATTGCAAATCCTTTCTCAACACAATTGCAATGAGACCTGGGGCAGGAAAAAACAAAACAACACAACAGCAGTCTCTCTCCTGTGGGAACAGAGGTCTTCAGGATCAAGTGATTCAGATAGAAAACTGCTCAATTCAGCTCAGCTGACTATACTAGGGAAGTTTTAAATATGTTCTTTTCAACATGAAACCAATTCTAATTCTTATTCTAAGCCTCTGAACAGCACAAAAATTGTATAGAACTCATTGTCCAAGTAGTTTCCTTCACCAAGCCTCTTCCAGGTTAGCAGACTTGCAACCACACTTGAAGAAAAAGCACTCAATTATATGACAAAAATTAAAATATGACTTATTGATCATTTCACTGTTTCCCATTTCTAAGCCCACATGTAGACAGCTACTTCTTTCTTATAAACAATTTAATAAACTCATCTCTAGCCTTAGAGTGTTTGTCATGGTTTCTGAACTCACCTCCTATACCAATCAGCATCCATTCAGGTGCCAGCGATCTTTAATACACATGAACAAGCAGCCAGACAACCTTTTGCAGTCTTAATAGCTCACATCAGGTTGTTACATCAAAAGTATAAAAGATCTAGAGACATTAAAAAAATATTTGCAAACATCAAGAGAAGAGTAATTTGGTATGTCAAGATGTATGGTTAGCTCTCTGAGTGCAACAAAATAAATACTGCTGCTTGGACCGACACATGCAAAATAAAATGATGCCATACTGAAGTATTACTGTAATCCCATGTTTTAGGATCTTGTGCCAATATAAGTTTTACAACTGATATTTAGGGGTAGGCTCAAGACATAAAATGTGTGTCTGGATATTAACAACCCAAGTTCTGGAAGACCAAGACTGAGCGTTTTGATGTGGCTTATTATAAAGAGACAAGAAATTCACATATAAATCTGGATTTGGCCAGTACACTCTTCCAGAGTTCTGGAATATTCAAATCCAAGGTGTTGGCTTATTTCAGTCTTTCCTAATAATAGGAAACTGTTATGGGCTAACAAGATAGAGTGTTACTTTACAATTTGCACATTTTCATTCACAATGTCCTTCTTATGCCTGAAATTATGTCTTTTCTCATCCCCAAAAGAATGTAAGAAACTGAACAAAAAATACACTCCTAGCATATGCAAATCTCTAACACAGTGGAAGCACACTATTTAAGCCTGCACATGTAGATTGCTTTCTGTTACTGGGGCTGATATATATGAGCTGTATCTGGCCCTTTTTTTGTGGTCAGGCACAGTGCTAAATAATTAACTACATCCTTGTTTTGAGCAAGAAACACAAAACATGAGCTACCTGCACAGCCTCACCACACAAACCTTTTAGGACAGTGGTGGGCAATCTGCTGCCTACGGGGCACATGAGGCCCATTGGTATAGTGTCCCACAAGATGTTTTATTTATCCTTGCCCATGTGCCGGGTTGCCAGATTCCAGGGGTTTTCATCTGCATAGATTTTTACCTACCAGTGTTGTTAAAGTGACATGCATGTAAAGCCAGGGCATGTGAAGTGAGGTCCGTGCTGATTGACTGTGAGAGATGGGTGTTCCCTCAGCATCCAATTAAATTCCTGCTATGGTTCAATCAGCCCACCCTGCATATTCTAGCAAGAGCAGTTAGCAAAACCACCTTATCCCAGAAGCCAGCCTTGGTTAGATCAATCTTGTGTCCCACTGAGATGAAGGAGGGCCATTCATCAGCCCACCCACTAGCTGTTTTAGGTACTCTGCTAGATACAATGATCCAGATCTAGAAAGTCAATGGAAGGTAGGAGCCTGCATACCTCTGAAGATCTGGGCCAATGGGATAAGAGACCTATAGCCAAAGCCCCCTGCAGTTTGCTGCAGAGTTGATGAACTTTGTGCAGGAAGGTCTTCAGGCTCTGTAATGCTCTGATGGAAATTCTTCAAAATTCTCTTGTGGATTCAGATATGTTTTAATAATAAAACTGATTTATTATATATTAACTTGAATAATACGGTCTATGCAGTGACCTATGTTACTTATTTTCATATTTAATTCAGAATATTTTATGCTATCTTTACATGCTGAGTTTTCAGTTTGATGCCCCCTTTAGGTTTCCATTAACACCTGACTGGGAATAATGGAACAGTTCACACCTCTCTGTATTACTGTTCCAGGCTTTCTGCGTTCATGCAGACCATCTCTGCAGTGATTCACATCTAGTTCACCTTTCTTCACAACCACTAGTAGTTGAAATTTATATTTGTAATGAAAGCTGAAATTTTGAAGCACAATTCTTTAGCAAGGTGAAGATTCTATGGCCAATTTTGTTGTGGAATACAGTGGTGTCCCTAGTCTCTGTTGCCAGAAGCTGGAAATAAGCGACTGGGGGTGGATCATTTTGATTACCTATTCTGTTTATTCCCTCTGAGGCACCTGGCCTTGGTCAGAAGGCAGGACACTGGGCTAGATGGACCTAGATGAACCAGCATGGCCATTCTTATGTTCTTATATGACTTGGAACTGCTGCTGTATGGAGCAAAACCCCATAGGCAGCATATAAATACAGTGTAACCTGTCTGATCATTCCACTCAACTCCAACCTGCTCTTTGACTTTGAGCCATCTGCTACTCTGACTTCTTGATTAGTCAAAGTACCCTCGGGTCTGCCCCAAGCTCTTTGCAACCAACATTTAGTCTTTTACTCACAGACCCAGGTACTCAGAATTTTCTCCCTCCCCCTGAACCATTAAATCATGTCTTTCACTTTAAAACTAGCCTTAAAAACTTTTCTGTTTGGCTTGTCATTGACGTTTTCTACAGAGACTTGTGTAGTGCCATGTGTGAAGATGAGTATAATACTGTATTTGTAACAATGACAATCAGAACCAGTGAGTAGTGTTACTGTACTGGCAGGGATGTATTTACTGTATACAGTGCTCTTGCAGGC